CCCTCTCCAGCCCTTTCCCCAGGAGGCCCAGAGCCGTGGGCACCCACCTGCCCTTGTGCTGAGGAGAGCGAGGCTGGAGCAGTGGATGCAGCCCTGGCCCAGGGCAGCGCTTTTATGGGTGGCCGGGCAGGCGGGGCAGGAGCTGCCCATGCTGGGGGCACGTGGCACTGGGGGCCAAGCCCCTGCCTCCTGCCGGGCTGGCACGCGGCTCTTTTGCTGACTGGCTCTCCTGGCCAGCCCCAACCCGCTCTCCCAGCCCCGCAAATCACCCCACTCGGACGCTGCCACCTCATGGGGCAGATGAGTCCTGCTGGCTTCTCATTATCTCCCAAGTGTCCACTATCTGGAAAAGGGGAAGATTGCAAAACCCCACACCCAGGGCAGCTCCTCTGGGACCTGCCTGCTCAGCACAAGCCATTAGTGGCTGGTACAGCAGAACTGGGCTCGATCCCCTCCAGGCACTGGCCTGGAAGCTCTGTAGGGCTGGGGACCCTTAGATAATAGATGTGCCATAGATGGCAAGCAGTTCCCAAGTGTTCCTGGTTCCTGCCACTCCTGCCCTATCCACCACAACCCATCCCAGCTGTGGAGCCCCACTGCTGAGGGAGATCACAGAATCACACAATGTGCCCAGGATATATTTGACCTTCAAAGATCATCAGCTGCTGTCCCTGCACAAGAGTCACCCCATGTACCTCACAGTACTGTCCAAAGAGCTCTTGCACTCTGTCAGGCTTGGTGCTGTGAGCACTGCCCTGCTGACAAGTGCCAAAGCAGCAGGAAGGGGCAGAAGCCTCGGGCAGCGAGATGTGCTGGGGTGGCACCCGGGGGGATGCTGACTCAGGGAGGGGCAGGAGCCGCACAGCCCTGGTGTCATCAGCAGCAGGGAGTGTCCCCCGTGCAGATTGGCCTGGCTGGGGCTGAGCACTGGTGGGGCTGCTATAAAAGGCCTGCCTGGGCCAGGCTGTGCCAAGCTGCTCTGGCCACCTTGTCCTCGGAGAGAAGGGTAAGTGTGGCAGCGCTTGTGCTGCTGGCTCCTGCTGCAGCCGCAGCTCCTGTGCCTGGGGCGCTGCCCTCTGCTGCTCTCCTGCCATCCCTGCCTGCCCTCTTGCAGAGCTGCATCGCCTGCCACGCTAAGATGTCCTGCTACGACCTGTACCCACCAAAGAACTTCTACTCCGACCTGTGCCCACCCAAGACCAGCGTGGCTGTGCCCCAGCCCATCGCTGAGAGCTGCAACGAGCTGTGCGCCCGCCAGTGCCCCGACTCCACGGCCTTCATCCAGCCGCCCCCCGTCGTCGTCACCTTCCCCGGCCCCATCCTCAGCTCCTTCCCCCAGCAAGCCGTGGTGGGCTCCGCCGGAGCCCCCGCCTTTGGGGGCTCCCTGGGGCTGGGGGGCCTCTACGGCGCCGGGGCCACCCAGGGCTCGGGGGGCCTCTGCACCTTTGGCAGAGCTCCCGCCTGCAGCCCTTGTGTCCTGCCCCGCTCCTCCAGGAGGATCTGGGACACCTGCGGGCCCTGCTAGACCCAGCCCACACCCCACTGCCACTGCTCCCCCACTCCACCAGCGCTGCTCTGGACAACATCCCTTGGGCTCCTCCAGCACGTGACAACCAGCCTGGCTGGGTCTCGCCCACCATCTCTCTCACAGTCTCTCCTGCCCCTCTCTGAACAATAAACTTGTCCTGCATCCAAGTCATGTCTCCATCCCTATTTTTTCCTGGTTGGGCAGACCCTGTGTGTGTGGGAGTGCCAGCTATGGGAGGGCAAATGCTGTTCCTGGAATGCCCAGGTGACAGTGAGGAGTTGCAGTGGTGGGAAGAGGACAGGACACGTGTGGGGCACTGGAGACTTTCCCACAAAGGGCCATACACAGATCCTGAAGGGACAGGGACTGTTTCTGCTCCTGAGAGACCCCAAGAGTGCCTTAAATGTTCCCCCTATTGCAGAGGAGACCCAGGGGGATCCCATCCCCGTGCACACAGCAGAGAAAGGAAGGGGTGAGGAAGATGGAAGCAGGCTCTGTGCACAGGGGTCAGGGCCAGCAGCAGAGGTAATGGGCACCAGCTGAAATGCAGCCCCAAAGCCTTTTGTCAGAGGGAGGGAGGGGGAGCTAGGTCTGGCACAGGCTGACGTGGCAGGTGCTGGAGTGTCTGTCCTTGGAGAGGTGGTAAAGCCACCTGGACACAGTGGTGGGCATTGGGCTCTGGGTGACCCTGCTGGGGGTGACAGCAGGAGGCCAAGATGGCCTGGAAAGGCTGTGGGAAGAAGGATCCAGCTGGGATTTGTGTCCCTGTGTGTCTGTGACAGAGCTGAGAGGCAGCAAGGGTGCTGTGTGTGCTGGGGGCAGCAGAATAACTAAATGGGGAATTGGAAAGTGTAAGGGAAGGTAAAATAGAAGAGATAATAGGACAGTGAAGGCTCATGGGTAAGAGAAAATGATAGCAAAGATGTAATGGAAGCAGAAGAAGGAGAGGAATGGGGAGGATGAAGAGTGGGAAAAGTAGAAGGAAAAGCAATAGGAGCGAGACACAGATGTGGGGTAAGAGAAAGAGAAGGTGCAGTTGATAAGCAAATTTATGGTAAGGAGCATAGAGATAGGGAAGCTTCTTTGCCATCACTCCAAAGACCTTTAGCAGAGCTGTGCAGCATCAAATGGGCTGGAGCTGAGGCAGCCCAGGCAACCCCTGGCATGTCCCCAGGCCCAGGGCCAGCCACACTGTTACCCAGTAGGGCTGGAGGTCTTCAGAAGCCCATGGGCTCAATGTACTGCAGAGAGAGGAGCTGCCAGACTCCAGGAAGAGTCCTTGGAGCTCAGCTGCAGGGCCTTGTGGGCTGAGAGCTGCCAGGGCTGGGAGGCCTATGCAAAGGCAGCTCTGCCTGGCACTGATGGGGAGGAGACACTGCCCAAGCCAGTGGGGTCAGGGCTACATGCAGGTCAAGGAAACTGTGCCCCCCTGCAGGTCAAGGAAACTGCCCCCCATTCTGAGTAACAAGAGGAAAACAGAGAGGCAGATGTTGGATGCAAGATTATTTTATTGCAGAGGGCAGGGAGGCTCTCATTGACAAAGGGAGAGGAGTCATGAGGAGAGGGGAGGGAGAGAAGACAGAAGGCTCAATGCTGAAGCACCCAAAGGGCTGTTGGGTGAGGCTTTAGCAGGGCCCGCAGAAGTCCCAGATCCTCCTGGAGGAGCGGGGCAGGACACAAGGGCTGCAGGCGGGAGCTCTGCCAAAGGTGCAGAGGCCCCCCGAGCCCTGGGTGGCCCCGGCGCCGTAGAGGCCCCCCAGCCCCAGGGAGCCCCCAAAGGCGGGGGCTCCGGCGGAGCCCACCACGGCTTGCTGGGGGAAGGAGCTGAGGATGGGGCCGGGGAAGGTGACGACGACGGGGGGCGGCTGGATGAAGGCCGTGGAGTCGGGGCACTGGCGGGCGCACAGCTCGTTGCAGCTCTCAGCGATGGGCTGGGGCACAGCCACGCTGGTCTTGGGCGGGCACAGGTCGTAGCAGGAGTTCTTTGGTGGGCACAGGTCGTAGCAGGACATCTTGGTGTGAAGGAGGTGAGACTGAAAAAGACACACACAAAAAAAGTGTTATGAATGAGCCAGAGATGCCTGGGATGAGCAGTTCAATGGTCCCTGGCTGCCCTAGAACTGAAGTGGTCACAGCCATATGGACTTGATCTCTCTGCTCATGACTTGTCCTTTACCCTGACAACCCCCCTCAGAGCCCTGATCCCCACACAGAGAGAAACACAACATCAGTCCCCAAATCCTCTGCACAGTCTATCATCCCTCCTCCCTGCCAGTCCATGCCAGGCTGCTGCCAGCACAGCCGCTGCCCTGGGAGCTCTCGTGCCCAGGGAGGGCCCTCCCTAGCCCCTGCTCCAGGAGGCCCAGAGCTGCGAGCACCCACCTGCCCTTGTGCTGAGCAGAGGGAGGCTGGAGCAGTGGATGCAGCCCTGGTCCAGGGCAGCCCTTTTATGGGTGGCCGGGCAGGCGGGGCAGGAGCTGCCCATGCGGGGGCACGTGGCGCTGGGGGCCAAGCCCCTGCCTCCTGCCGGGCTGGCACGCGGCTCTTTTGCTGACTGGCTCTCCTGGCCAACCCCAAACCGCTCTCCCAGCCCTGCAAATTACCCCGCTCGGACGCTGCCACCTCATGGGGCAGATGAGTCCTGCTGGCTTCTCATTATCTCCCAAGTGTCCACTATCTGCAAAAGGGGAAGATTGCGAAACCCCACACCCAGGGCAGCTCCTCTGGGACCTGCCTGCTCAGCACAAGCCATTAGTGGCTGGCACAGCAGAACTGGGCTCGATCCCCTCCAGGCACTGGCCTTGAAGCTCTGTAGGGCTGGGGACCCTTAGATAATAGATGTGCCATAGATGGCAAGCAGTTCCCAAGTGTTCCTTGTTCCTGCCACTCCTACCCTAGCCACCACAACCCATCCCAGCTGTGGAGCCCCACTGCTGAGGGAGATCACGGGATCACACAATGTGCCCAGGATATATTTGACCTTCACAGATCATCAGCTGCTGTCCCTGCACAAGAGTCACGTCATGTCGCCCAGAGTACTGTCCAAGGACCTCTTGCACTCTGTCAGGCTTGGTGCTGTGAGCACTGCCCTGCTGACAAGAGCCAAAGCAGCAGGAAGGGGCAGAAGCCTCAGGCAGCGGGATGTGCTGGGGTGGCACCCGGGGGGATGCTGACTCAGGGAGGGGCAGGAGCCGCACAGCCCTGGTGTCATCAGCAGCAGGGAGTGTCCCCCATGCAGATTGGCCTGGCTGGGGCTGAGCACTGGTGGGGCTGCTATAAAAGGCCTGCCTGGGCCAGGCTGTGCCAAGCTGCTCTGGCCACCTTGTCCTCGGGGAGAAGGGTAAGTGTGGCAGCGCTTGTGCTGCTGGCTCCTGCTGCAGGTGCAACTCCTGTGCCTGGGGCGCTGCCCTCTGCTGCTCTCCTGCCATCCCTGCCTGCCCTCTTGCAGAGCTGCATCGCCTGCCACGCCAAGATGTCCTGCTACGACCTGTGCCCACCCAAGAACTCCTACTCCGACCTGTGCCCACCCAAGAACTCCTGCTACGACCTGTGCCCACCCAAGACCAGCGTGGCTGTGCCCCAGCCCATCGCTGAGAGCTGCAACGAGCTGTGCGCCCGCCAGTGCCCCGACTCCACGGCCTTCATCCAGCCGCCCCCCGTCGTCGTCACCTTCCCCGGCCCCATCCTCAGCTCCTTCCCCCAGCAAGCCGTGGTGGGCTCCGCCGGAGCCCCCGCCTTTGGGGGCTCCCTGGGGCTGGGGGGCCTCTACGGCGCCGGGGCCACCCAGGGCTCGGGGGGCCTCTGCACCTTTGGCAGAGCTCCCGCCTGCAGCCCTTGTGTCCTGCCCCGCTCCTCCAGGAGGATCTGGGACTTCTACGGGCCCTACTAAAGCCTCACCCAGCAGCCATCGAGCCCTTTGGGTGCTTCAGCATTGAGCCTTCTGTCTTCTCTCCCTCCCCTCTCCTCAGGACTCCTCTCCCCTTCCCTTGTACATGACAGCCTCCCTACCCTTGCAATAAAATAATCTTGCATCCAACATCTGCCTCTCTGTTTTCCTGTTGTTACTCAGAATGGGGGGCAGTTTCCTTGACCTGCAGGGGGGCACAGTTTCCTTGACCTGCACGTGACCCTGACCCCACTGGCTTGGGCAGTGTCTCCTCCCCATCAGAGCCAGGCAGAGCTGCCTTTGCAAAAGCCCCCAGCCCTGGCAGCTCTCAGCCCACAAGGCCCTGCAGCTGAGCTCCAAGGACTCTTCCTGGAGTCTGACAGCTCCTCTCTCTGCAGTACTTGGAGCCCATGGGCTTCTGAAGACCTCCAGCCCTACTGGGTAACAGTGTGGCTGGCCCTGGCCCAGGGGACATGCCAGACATTTCCTGGGCTGCCTGAGCTCCAACCCATTTGATGTTCCACAGCTCTGCTAAAGGTCTTTGGAGTGATGGCAAAGAAGAACCTTCCCTATCTCCATGCTCCTTACCTTAAATTTGCTTATCAACAGCACCTTCTCTTTCTCTTTCCCTACATCCTTCTCTCTCTCCTATTGCTTTTCCTTCTACTTCTTCCCACTCTTCATCCTCCCCATTCCTCTCCTTCTTCTGCTTCCATTACATCTTTGCTATCATTTTCTCTTACCCATGAACACTTCTATTTTACTTTCCCTTACCCTTTCCAATTCCCCATTTAGTTATTCTACTGCCCCCAGCACACACAGCACCCTTGCTGCCCTTCAGCTCTGTCACAGACACACAGTGACACAAATCCCAGCTGGATCCTTGTTCCCACAGCCTTTCCAGGCCATCTTGGCATCCTGCTGTCACCCCCAGCAAGGTCACCCAGAACCCAATGCCCACCACTGTGTCCAGGTGGCTTTGCCAGCTCTCCAAGGACAGACACTCCAGCACCTGCCAGGCCATTCTATGCCAGGCCTCACTCCCCCTCCCTCCCTCTGACAAAGGGTTTTGGGGCTGCATTTCAGCTGCTGCCCATTGCCTCTGCTGCTGGCCCTGACTCCTGTGCACAGAGTCTGCTTCCATCTTCCTCACCCCTTCCCTTCTCTGCTGTGTGCATAGGGATGGAATCCCCATCAGTTTCCTCTGCAATAGTGGGAACACTCAAGGCACTCTTGGGCTCTCCCAGGAGCAGAAACAGTCCCTGTCCCTTCAGGATCTGTGTATGTCCCTTTGTGGGAGAGTCTCCAGTGCCCCACATATGTCCTGTCCTCTTCCCACCACTGCAACTCCTCACTGTCACCTGGGCATTCCAGGAACAGCATTTGCCCTCCCATAGCTGGCACTCCCACACACACAGGGTCTTCCCCACTAATAAAAAACAGGGATGGAGACTTGACTTGGATGCAAGAAAAGTTTATTGTTCAGAGAGGAGCAGGAGAGACTGTGAGAGAGATGGTGGGCGAGACCCAGCCAGGCTGGTTGTCACATCTTGGAGGAGCCCAAGGGATGTTGTCCAGAGCAGCGCTGGTGGAGTGGGGGGAGCAGTGGCAGTGGGGTGTGGGCTGGGTCTAGCAGGGCCCACAGGTGTCCCAGATCCTCCTGGAGGAGCGGGGCAGGACACAAGGGCTGCAGGCGGGAGCTCTGCCAAAGGTGCAGAGGCCCCCCGAGCCCTGGGTGGCCCCGGCGCCGTAGAGGCCCCCCAGCCCCAGGGAGCCCCCAAAGGCGGGGGCTCCGGCGGAGCCCACCACGGCTTGCTGGGGGAAGGAGCTGAGGATGGGGCCGGGGAAGGTGACGACGACGGGGGGCGGCTGGATGAAGGCCGTGGAGTCGGGGCACTGGCGGGCGCACAGCTCGTTGCAGCTCTCAGCGATGGGCTGGGGCACAGCCACGCTGGTCTTGGGCGGGCACAGGTCGGAGCAGGAGTTCTTGGGTGGGTACAGGTTGTAGCAGGACATCTTGGCGTGGCAGGTGATGCAGCTCTGCAAGAGGACAGGCAGGGATGGCAGGAGAGCAGCAGAGGGCAGCGCCCCAGGCACAGGGGCCGCGGCTGCAGCAGGAGCCAGCAGCACAAGCGCTGCCACACTTACCCTTCTCCCCGAGGACAAGGTGGCCAGAGCAGCTTGGCACAGCCTGGCCCAGGCAGGCCTTTTATAGCAGCCCCACCAGTGCTCAGCCCCAGCCAGGCCAATCTGCACGGGGGACACTCCCTGCTGCTGATGACACCAGGGCTGTGCGGCTCCTGCCCCTCCCTGAGTCAGCATCCCCTCGGGTGCCACCCCAGCACATCCCGCTGCCCGAGGCTTCTGCCCCTTCCTGCTGCTTTGGCACTTGTCAGCAGGGCAGTGCTCACAGCACCAAGCCTGACAGAGTGCAAGAGTTCTTTGGACAATACTCTGGGGGACATGGCGTGACTCTTGTGCAGGGACAGCAGCTGATGATCTGTGAAGGTCAAATATATTCTGGGCACATTGTGTGATCCTGTGATCTCCCTCAGCAATGGGGCTCCACAGCTGGGATGGGTTGTGGTGGATAGGGCAGGAGTGGCAGGAACAAGGAACACTTGGGAACTGCTTGCCATCTATGGCACATCTATTATCTAAGGGTCCCCAGCCCTGCAGAGCTTCATGGCCAGTGCCTGGAGGGGATCGAGCCCAGTTCTGCTGTGCTGGCCACTAATGGCTTGTGCTGAGCAGGCAGGTCCCAGAGGAGCTGCCCTGGGTGTGGGGTTTCACAATCTTCCCCTTTTCCAGATAGTGGACACTTGGGAGATAATGAGAAGCCAGCAGGACTCATCTGCCCCATGAGGTGGCAGCGTCCGAGCGGGGTAATTTGCGGGGCTGGGAGAGCGGGTTGGGGCTGGCCAGGAGAGCCAGTCAGCAAAAGAGCCGCGTGCCAGCCCGGCAGGAGGCAGGGGCTTGGCCCCCAGCACCACGTACCCCCAGCATGGGCAGCTCCTGCCCCGCCTGCCCAGCCACCCATAAAAGCGCTGCCCTGGGCCAGGGCTGCATCCACTGCTCCAGCCTCCCTCTGCTCAGCACAAGGGCAGGTGGGTGCCCACGGCTCTGGGCCTCCTTGGGGCAGGGAATGGGGAGGGCCCTCCCTGGGCAAGAGAGCTCCCAGGGCAGTGGCTGTGCTGGCAGCAGCCTGGAATGGAGTGTCAGGGATGAGGGATGATAGACTGTGCAGAGGATTTGGGGACTGATGTTGTGTTTCTCTCTTTGTGGGGATCAGGGCTCTGAGGGGGGTTGTCAGGGCAAAGGAGAAGTCATGGGCAGAGAGGTCAAGTCCATATGGCTGTGACCACTTCAGTTCTAGGGCAGCCAGGGATCATTGAACTGCCCAGCCCAGGCATCTCTGGCTCATTCATAACACTTTTTTGTGTTTGTCTTTTCCAGCCTCACCTCCTTCACGCCAAGATGTCCTCCTACGACCTGTGCCCGCCCAAGACCAGCGTGGCTGTGCCCCAGCCCATCGCTGAGAGCTGCAACGAGCTGTGCGCCCGCCAGTGCCCCGACTCCACGGCCTTCATCCAGCCGCCCCCCGTCGTCGTCACCTTCCCCGGCCCCATCCTCAGCTCCTTCCCCCAGCAAGCCGTGGTGGGCTCCGCCGGAGCCCCCGCCTTTGGGGGCTCCCTGGGGCTGGGGGGCCTCTACGGCGCCGGGGCCACCCAGGGCTCGGGGGGCCTCTGCACCTTTGGCAGAGCTCCCGCCTGCAGCCCTTGTGTCCTGCCCCGCTCCTCCAGGAGGATCTGGGACACCTGCGGGCCCTGCTAAAGCCTCACCCAACAGCCATCGAGCCCTTTGGGTGCTTCAGCATTGAGCCTTCTGTCTTCTCTCCCTCCCCTCTCCTCATGACTCCTCTCCCCTTCCTTTGTCAATGAGAGCTTCCCTGCCTTTGCAATAAAATAATCTTGCATCCAACATCTGCCTCTCTGTTTTCCTCTTGTTACTCAGAATGGGGGCAGTTTCCTTGACCTGCAGGGGGGCACACTTTCCTTGACCTGCACGTGGCCCTGACCCCACTGGCTTGGGCAGTGTCTCCTCCCCATCAGAGCCAGGCAGAGCTGCCTTTGCATGGGCCTCCCAGCCCTGGCAACTCTCAGCCCACAAGACCCTACAGCTGAGCTCCAAGGACTCTTCCTGGAGTCTGGCAGCTCCTCTCTCTGCAGTACTTGGAGCCCATGGGCTTCTGAAGACCTCCAGCCCTACTGGGTAACAGTGTGGCTGGCCGTGGCCCTGGGGAGATGCCAGGGCTGCCTGAGCTCCAACCCATTTGATGTTCCACAGCTCTGCTAAAGGTCTTTGGAGTGATGGCAAAGAAGAAGTTTCCCTATCTCTATGCTCCTTACCTTAAATTTACTTATCAACAGCACCTTCTCTTTCTCTTTCCCCACATCCTTCTCTCTCTCCTATTGCTTTTCCTTCTACTTTTCCCACTCTTAATCCTCCCCATTCCTCTCCTTCTTCTGCTTCCATTACATCTTTGCTATCATTTTCTGTTACCCATGTGCCTTCACTGTCCTGTTCTCTCTTCTATTTTACCTTCCCTTCCCCTTTCCAATTCCCCTTTAGTTATTCTACTGCCCCCAGCACACACAGCACCCTTGCTGCCCCTCAGCTCTGTCACAGACACACAGTGACACAAATCCCAGCTGGATCCTTCTTCCCACAGCCTTTCCAGGCCATCTTGGCCTCCTGTTCTTGCCTCCAGCAGGGTCACCCAGAGCCCAATGCCCACCACTGTGTCCAGGTGGCTTTGCCACCTCTCCAAGGACAGACACTCCATTACCTGCCAGGTCAGCCTGTGCCAGGCCTCACTCCCCCTCCCTCCCTCTGACAAAGGGTTTTGGGGCTGTATTTCAGCTGGTGCCCATTATCTCTGCTGCTGGCCCTGACCCCTGTGCACAGAGCCTGCTTCCATCTTCCTCACCCATTCCCTTCTC